GGGCGCGAGGCGTTCCGCGCCTCGCGGGGAAGGACCCCGACGAGTAAGCGGCCTTGGGGCGGTGTCAGGGACCCTTCCCTGGGGCAAGAGGGGACTGGTGCCTGCGGGAGGGAAGGGCTCACGCCTCACCTCCTCTTCCGTCTCCAGGTTTGCCGCTCCAAAGCGGGAGCTGAAGAGCAGCGATCTCCCCGTGCCCCCTCCCCAGGTGGGCGGTGCAGACCAATCACTGAAGTCATTAGCAAAGCTCCCTGGGACTCCCTGCCCACGGCGGGCTCAGCGCCAGTGCAAGACAGTGGGGTGGTTTGAGTTCTCTGAGCATCTGAGTCCGTGAAGGGACTGAGCCCTTGTGAGCCCCCTGGCTCAGGGCCCGGGGATCTCGCTGGCTGTACCGGACAGCCAGGGCAGGCAGCAAACTGCGCTGTACCTTGCAGCGCCTGGCTGGGCCTCACTTAGGGCAGCAGGTGGCAAAGAGCTTTGGGAGGGTCGGAGAGGAAAAGAAGCGCTTCAGGAGATCAGGTAGACAATCAGGTGCAGGAGGTTGGGAACGGGAGCCAGGGAGCTTCCCTACTAAGGCAAGTTTGTGTGGAGATGTTGCTCGTAGGTTTTCCAGCTCAGGCTATGCCCCAGTACCCTTTGGTTGTGTTGCTGTCTCAGCTACATCATCTCAATGAGGAGGAAGCTTGAAAGAACTGTTTGTTGCTAATGGGAGGAGGTTGGTAATCTTTCCTCTGGTGTCTGGCTAGAGCTGGGTTTTTCTGTCCTTATCACAGGTTTACAGGGTCACAGTTTTTTAGGCTTCTCTGAATGCTCTGCTACCCCCTGGGCATCAGTGGTTTTCTTATCTGACTACCACAGCCTTCTCAGTTCTGGATTTTTTTTTTTTTTTTGCTGGGGGTCTCATTTCCAGCCTGAGACAGCAAATGGCTTCAGCAATCAGTGTGCTCCATGTGTGCAGAGACCATCCTCCAGCCAGTCCTGAGCAAGCTACAATGACAGAGGCCAAGCAGCCAGAAGAGGTGGTAAAGGAGTTTGTGGGACATAAGAATCCTTTGCTCAGCTCTTTGTGCCTCAGCAGTAGCAGCAGAAATAGCCAAAGGAGACTGTATGGATTCATGGATGGGGGAAAAGCTAGTGGTTCTGGCCATGACAACTTCCAGCTTCCAGATAGCAACATCCCTTTCTTCTTCACAGTTTCCTCTGCCTCTGCTGCTGCCTAGGTGGTGACATCTGGTCTGACTGGTCACCATGACTGGCTGGTTCATAGAGACAGAGAAAGACTTGAAGAAACACCTCTATGCCTTGTCATCCTCTGAGCAAATAGATTCATATGGTACAGCATCATACTGATCCAGCTCATAGAAAAAGATCTTTCTGAGGGCACTTCTCTGGATCAAATCTTTTTAGGAGACTTTCAGCTCTCATGGTCTTGAGGCAATGTTTTTTGTTGTGGATTTATATATGTATTTTTTTAAATCCCACCAGGCATATTGATTTAGCCTATGTGAAGAAGATTGCTTTGGAATTTCTAGTCAAGATCTGATTTGCTCTATTGTGGCTGGGCAGAGAAGACAAAAGTTCTTTTGATCTTCTATTCTCATGTTGAGAGGACTTTCCTGACAGGTGGAAAGAAGACTCTGAAGGCAGAAGGACCACTTTTACTACCCACGTCTCTGATACACTTTTGGAAATGATACCTTGAAGCTCTCAGGAACAGTGCTGCTGAGAAGCAAATTGCAGTAGGAAGGGTAGATTTCGATTTGCCTGTAGATGATAAAGGAGACCTCTGCAGTTTCTGCTCTAAAAGTCAGCTCTGAAGGGAAGAAAGGGAGTTTTTCCTGCCTGTGCAGCCAGTAATTCTCCTGCTTCTGGACTAATTAGGAAGACCAAGCTAATCTGGGAATTTACCCTTGCCAGGCTTTAAATGTTAGAAGCTGTTTGGAGTGCATGGTCAGAGGATAGGGTAGTTGAGGATAGAAAAAGGCTGTCTGGGGATTCCTGGGCTCCTCCATGATAAACAGGGGAATATTCAGTAACCTCAGATGCAAGAAGGAAGTTTCTGGAGTGCGAAGGCAATTGGTCGTGGGTGGCTGGCCATTGCAGGCTTAAAGACACAAAAGGGAACAGGCCACTGGGAATAGGCTGGGACTGCAAGACCACAGAAAGGAGAGGATTCTCCTGCAAAGCCCTTTCCTTTCTCCAAGGAATAATGAGTGTTGTGCGATTTTGTGCAGCCCCAGCAGCTTTCCGCAACTGTAAACCTGTGTACTAACCTGAAGTATGCATCCCATTTGGGAATCTGACCAGGGAAAGAAAGAAGATATAACAACTGTATGTTTTGAGTCATCTCTATGCTTCTGTTTAATTCAGTTTCAAAGGATGCATTTAATATGAATAGAGAGCAGAACAAAAGCAACTACACCAGGCTGATGACAAGCCCTCCTGGGACAGCAGTGCAATGACCCAATCAAACATGATTTAAGTGTAATTCTACAGCCAAAGCCTATGGAGAATTCACAGAGCTTCAGATCTGAAGATGCATGAAGTTGATACCAAGCAGCAGAGCTTTATGTTTGGTAACAAAAGGCTCCAGATGACACTGTATGTGTGTAAATGATGGCAGGATTTAGTCTACAGAGTTATGGGCAAACCGTCTCTAGAATAGGACTTTCAAAGAAGAGTCTTGAATAGCAGTGGTGAAGTTACATTAAGATATTTTTCTTAATATAAAGAACTCTTTGATACTTTCATGTCACTCATCCCCACTGGGGATACAAACTCTGCAATGTCTGAGACTTTTTCCACAACTTTGTTTTGCCTTCTTTACAAATAGAAACAACTGTTGTGAGGATTGCTAAAAAAAGCCCAGTCCCCAAAGCACTGCTTTATTTATTTTCATGTGATCAGTCAGTTTGTATCCAGATCATACCATGTAATAAATAAGTCCATGTCATAAGATGTTAGTCCTAAAATTATAGGAGTAAGGGAAACTTTTTGTAGGGTAAGGGTGCAAAAAATTGCTGCTCATGAAAGGAAAAAAAAGGAAATGGTAAAACCAATTCCATTGACCCAGCTGATCAAGTAGTTTAAGGGATCACCTAGATAAATTTCAGCCCTGAAACAGAAGTAAAAATACTATTTTTAACAAGTTTTAGAGAACAGAAAAGTAATACTATGGTCACCTCTCAACTACTAAATGAGACAAGACAGTGGTGTAAGAACTGAAGATGCCAGAATTACATAAATGGCTGTACATTACATTGCTTATGCACTGCCCAATCTAAAGAGTCAAAACTCTCTCAGGCATGGGTGACAATTAAGCTTATTGCAAAGGCTTATTACAGAAGATTTATTAATATTATTGGCAATAGCGATAGCAATGATAATAATTTGAAGAGCACCTTGATGTGTGTGAGGTGCTTCTCAAGAAAGATGAAAGAGCAGTTATTCTCAGGCAGCACTGATAAACTTTAAGGTGTCATAATGTGTGAACAAGTTGGTTTCAGTTGGTTGGGGAGGCACTTCGGGAAGGTAATGGAGATCAGAATCACAGAACAGCTGAGGCTGGAAGGTGCCTCTAGAGATTGTCTAGTCCAATCCTTCTGCTCAAAGCAGAGTAACCTACAGCAGGTTTTTCAAGGCCATGTCCAGTTGGGTTTTGGATATCTCCAAGTATGGAGACTCCACAGCCTCTCTGGGCAACCTGTCCCAGTATTTGACTACCCTCACCATGGAAAAGTGTTTTATGATGTTCAGAGGGACCCTCCTGTGTTTTGGTTTGTACCCATTGCATCCTGTCCTGTCACTGGGCACCAAACCAAGAGTTTGGCTCTGTCTTCTTTGCACCCTCCAATCAGAGATTCCCTTTTGCGGAGTCAAATGAGAGCTGCAGGAAGGTAGTCTGCAGGAAATGTAGACAAACAGGACACTGATGGAGTGACAGAAGAGCACAGCAATATGGACCTGTCCAATACTGTTGACTTGAATGCACTTCAAGTCACATCTCTGGATGCAAGACTGCACTTGTCAGGGAAAGCATGCATGTATATCAATGAAGTACAAGTCATAACAACATTTCCTAGAAAGTTTGGATTTTTTCACAGAAAAAACACACCATAGAGCAGTTATATTATATGGGAACTATGGGTTGGGGAGCTTCCCAGAAAGCCAGCTGCCCCTGTTCCTAATTATTTATTATTCATCTCTGTTTCAGTCCAAAATGAGGGCTGGTTTATGGGAAATGACTTACAAAATGAAACATGGAAATATGGAATGGATGATGATTAATGGGAGCTATGCAAAAATGCAAAGGGCATAAACATCCAGGAGAGGAAGGTTGACATGGGGTGACACTAGAGGGGTTTTCATACAAGTAAATTAATAAAGACAATATATTTCCTGATGGAGACTCTTGTTAGCTCATGGAGTAAGCTTTGAAGAGAAGGTTAGGAGACATGGTGGAAAACATGTTGTTTTCCTGCCCTGTTTCCTCCTGCCCTGAAGAGTCCACTGCAGGAAAGCCTCTTGTGTTGGATCTTGGTGAAGGGTCAAGTTGGATTTATGTACTGCAAATTTATGCTTCATTTTGCAGGTATGATGGGTACTTAATTATTACTTTTTTGTTTGCTTGTTAAGATGCTGATACAAAGCAACAAAGTTCTGGTTTTCAATATAAAGAACAAAAAGTATTTGAGAAAATATATTTGAATCATTGATTTTTAAAAATATCTCTTGATAAAATAAATTACTTTTGGATGGAAAACCACAAATGCCATCATGCTCAGTATCAGAAGTAAGACTCTTCCAGCCTTAAGGCACAGTAATTTCAATGCATTAATGCTCAAAAATGACAGGGCTATCTTTGGATCCATTAGGAGTTTCCACAAACCACCTAAATAAACATGCCACATGATTGGACAGTGAAACAGTAATGATCAAGTTGTCAGGAATGATTTATATACATGGTTCCCTGAGGCAAGAGAATGAACTAGGTGCCTTGTGAGGTCCTTGACTCCCTGAAACCATAGACTCTATGGCTTGAAGATGAAAATGACCACTACAGTATAATGACTTTCACTGTCTACTCCCCTGGGAGTGGTAGGTCATCTCCAGCACTATCCTATAAATGCTACATTTAATTCTTCTCAGATTTAAGTTCTCATGGGCTTGGTTATTTTCGAAGTATACCTTCATTCTATTACACCTCATGCCTGCAACTAACTACAGAACAATCAACAAGAATTTAATTTTTGCTTCACGACATTTTCATTTCATGCTAACAACAGGACATGCAAAAACTCTCTGCCACTCCAGCAGATGCTGCTCCTCACCTGGTTGGAGTGGAAGAAATGGCAGGATGAGCACATGAAATGATCTGTAAGAGCTTGTGGCTATCCTAGGTCCTCCCATGCTGACTTTACAGGGAGCTCTGAATCGCAGAGTAAGGGCAGTGAATGGCCTAGAGTATCTATCAAGTGTGATGTCAGTTAATTGCTACCCCTGGGATTCAGCAGTGAGTTGGTGCACTGTGAGTTAAAGACTTCAGGCTTGATACTTGGCAATACTACCATTAGTATTTTACAAGGAGACTTCAATGTCTCTTCATAAAGCCAGCCAACCAGAATGTTGTTGATCTGCTGTTTGCTTGTGCCTGTTGCACAAGGTATTGGTGAAACTCTCACTACCTATCATCTGTTGACTTTTCTTTGCCTTCATTCTCCCTCTACCAGTATACACAGATATGTCATTGTCTCCAAAGGAGACTTCACTCTCTAGCAAACAGCATCAAGAAAAAGGCCACATCCCTTTCCAAATTACAATTCAGTCTTCTAAAGATGGATGTTGACAAGACATTGATGAATTCAGACACAGCTTTGAGATTTCTCAGAGGGTTTGAGGATTTCCATTGTCAGAGATGGCTATTGTGCTACGAAAATTATTCCCAGCTGAAAGAGTGAGAAAACGTTTTAAAGGACAGCTCAACAGTATTAAAAAAAGCTGGATACCCTGACACCCTGGGGGAAAAGCTGCTAACAAAGTTAGTGAGATGGGGTGGGACAACATTTGAGTGTCACAATAATTTTATTGCATAATCTTTGTCCTGCTTACCCCCAGCTCTCACCAAAGACAATGGAAGCATGGGGTTTTCAGTTCCTTGCAGGAGACAGAGTCTGGCATCATCAAGTCCTTTTTATTTTTTCTACAAGACTATAAAAGACAGAAAAGCATTCTTGACTGAAAACTAATATTCAAAGTCTCATGAGAATAGATACCAGTCCCTTGGCCACAAAACTTTGGAGAGGACTCAAGATGACTGTGATGAATCTCATGGAGAAGCAAGCCCAAATAAACACAATTTGAATGAATAGAGAATGCAGTCATCCCATCAACAGATGAACTTGGTTAGTCCTTGTCTCTGCAGCCCCTCTATGGTACTGTGTTACTGCTCAACCTCTGTCAGATGCAGCTTGCTAATGAAGCTGCCACACTGGGCCTTCAAGCCCCTTACCATTTTACAGATGGACTTGGCCTCCTCAGAAAACTTATGGGAGTACACCTCTTCTGTCTCCAGCACTCTTCTATCGACTTCTTCCCTCTTCACTTTCTCCTTCCTTCCACGAAATGGTGATTGCCCAGCAATCATTTCATAAATAAGACAGCCTAGCCCCCAGTAGTCAGGGCTCAGTGTGTATCTCTGGTTGTTCAACACTTCTGGAGCTGTGGAGGGGAAAGATGTGTCTTGTGGAAATGCTTGATATTTACATAGGCAAAACTCCTATATTTCTAGAAGTTCCATTTTGGTGACTGAATACACATGCACAGAGAATGGTGGGTAAAATATAAAAACACCTCCTGATTTCTGCTGATGCCATTACAGAAAATGCAGCATGCCACACACCATGTCTTTTTGCCACATGCTACATGCTATGTGCATGCTGTCTTCTGACTTCTCTACCAAGTTAGACCAATTAAAAAAACAAAAAGAAGTTGAAGCTAAATATTAAGCAGAGGCCTGATCTTAAGAGTCCTTCCATATTTCTCCATTTAGGGAAGAAATGACATACAAACACACATCCTGTAAACAGCAGTGACATTTCTTCAAAATCAAATTATGTTGTTTTGCCCAATTTATAACTTATTTTACACATGCATACTCACAAACACAGTTTTATTGTGTGCACAAACTTACACTGAGATAAAAAAAAATTAGAAATGACAACTCATTTGCTTGCTTTCATTAAAGTCTCCATATGGTGTAACAGCGGCTCATATCAGCTAGTTTCTATTTAGTCAAATAAGCATAAGCAATTTTTATTTCAAGAAATATGGCCACCCAGAGAATGCATGAAAATAATCACACTGAATTTAGAAAATGGATCTAGTTAAATCAGGGAGTGTGTTTTTTACCAATTTACAAAGCTCTACTCTTCTTTTGTGCAGCTTCCCCTGCACCTAGGGGAGGACTCAAGATGACTGTTGTCAAGATGGCCAGAGGTGCAGACTTACACATTTTACCATAAAGATACAACACATTTTAACTATTATACAAAGTAGCAACTAGAGAGAAACCTTTCTTTTATGCACATAACTCTCCTAAAATAAATCTATGCTAAAATCGCTAGTGTCCCAGTTGTTCTGTCTTCTTTTAGTTTTCTTTGCTGATTTAGGATTGTAGAGCAGTCTCATTAAGAGCTGCTGTGGTCCACCCTTCCGCCCACTTTTGATTTCCACTAGGATGACTCTGTGGTGGGTTGCTGCAGGGGACTGGATCCTGCTGAATGTGAATCTTTTTCTATTCATTTTCTTAAGCCTACATGTCGGAAAGACCTCAAAAAATTATCAAAGATCTCAGCAAATTATCAAAAAGATAAACTACTGAAGACTTACCCATATACCCTACTGTTCCTACTCTTCCACGGATTGATTCACCGTCGGGGATTTTAACAGCTAGACCCAAATCAGATATTCTAATATGGCCTGGAAGGGATAAAGAAACAAAACAACACAAACCAGATACAATAATATGACCCAAATTAGTTCAAAACCACAACTGCACACAAAACACATCACTGCAATGTTCTCGCAATTTACTGTTCAGCCATTTTAAGAAAAGACTGTCCTGAACCACTGAATTGGTGCAGTTTCATTAATAAGGAAAAGAGGAATGACTAATGGTGTTCTAATGCAGTGAAAGTAATATTAACAGTGAGGCTGTGGTCTAGAGTGGATTGAGTTAGGTATTATAAAACCAACTGAAAAAAGGCAATGAGGAGCATGCTGTAGGGAAGTATCTTGAACTGATAACAGGGAATGGATGGGCTGACATAATTCTGTAACTCTCTGACGGCTGAAAGTGCTACATCTGGTTTGTAAGTCAGCATGAGTTTTGATTATCTCTGCCTTCAGCAACAAATGGGTACCTGGGTTTGCATCAAAAGAGAGTTGGCTCAGCAAAGGATGAAAGTACTTTTGAAAATGGAATGGGGAGCACAAATTTAGAAATCCCAACTTCTTTTGTGTTGCGTCAGCCTTGCAACAATAAGGACAGAAAAACAATGGAAAAAAGCAGACACCTCCAGCAAACCTGTTCTCTCGAGAACAGACCCTGCTGAGCAGCATGGCTGCTTCATTCCACCCGTGCAGTGAGCTCTAGCACTTCACCCACCCCAAAACAGAAGTATTAGTGTATGCTGAACCTCTTAGTCACTTCAGAGCATTATTTGTCTTTGTGCAATATATATCCTAAAACTAACTTAATCTACTTTACTGTGAAAGCATCTCTGTAAACCTCTGAGACTTACCATAATCATCTAGCAGGATATTTTCTGGCTTCAAATCTCTGAAAATGAAAGATAGCAGTTATTTGTATAGAGCTGGTTTTGATAACATAACCATACAACAGTGTGTGACTGCATTTATTACTAGTAATAAACCAACTGAGTGTCAGCTCAAACAGCAAGAAACTCATGAAACCAATACAACTTTCTACAACTCACTTCACAGATAGACAGAAACCATATGTCTTTTTCTAAACTGGAGTTACATTTTTCCAATAAGCCAAGCTTTTAGTTCCTAATCCAGTCTATAATGGACTCATCCATCTAGTCCAGTAAGCCCTGTAAACCGAGCCCTATAGTCCTTTGTGTTAAAGCTCTGTAACATTTTCTGTTATAAAATCTTTTGTTAAAAAAGAATATTTTAAATTTTAAAATATTTTATTTGCATATGAAAATGGAAATAGCAATCTGTTGAGCTCAATTTTTCTACGCCTGGCATTTGACTCAGAGAGATTTCACTCAGATGTGAATGTGTGTACATACACTTGTGCACATGTGTTATTATTTCAGCAAGTTTGGAAAATGAGGGGTAGAGGGTAGAATGCTGTGCCCAGATTAAGATTCTTCTTAAAACATTCGTGAAACTCTAGTGCCTATGTGGTTTGGAGCAACGCCATGAAAATTGGGAAGGTGGTCACTCTGATGTTGAAGATGTGCCTTTTACTGCTCCTGTGAAAAAAAAAACTTCCCAAATCTGGCCAAGTTATAAAATTCTGAAAAAAAATTATCTCAGTTTTCATATATTTAGCAGAGCCTCGTCAGGTCATTCTTCTGAAAGATTTGTCTGCACCAAACCCACTCCACCAGTTGATGCTCCTAGATGCTGCCCAGGCCAGCCACGCTCAAGTCCCTTCACTTGACCAAGGCTGTTTTCCAAACCTGGGAGCTGAGCACACCTTTGCAGCTGCCACTGCTGTTCCTGGATGCAGCGGGCTGCTGTTGAGGCAGGAGCCCAGTGGGCTCCTTCCCATCCTCCCTGTGCTGCTGAGCAGGGTTGTCCCTGCTCAGATTGTGCCTTGTGGCACAGACCGCTGCTAGTGCAGAGC